CTATTTGAGGTTCAATTTTATCAAGTTGACATTAAATATTCAGTCTATGATGATAAACAATGGAGAATATTTGAGTTTTTAAATTTGATTCTGATCCTTAAATCTGAAGTTAAAGCCGAAGTCTTGGATTGTATGAACTATTGCCTATCAATAAAATTGGAATACAATGTATTATTATGTACTGAGAAAAATGAAGAATCTACAGAACTACGATTCAAAACAGCGTTACGGTGTCCTGTCTAGAAAGTCGTGACAATAAGGAATAAAGATGAAAAATATGTATTAATTATACATGTATATTTAAACGGAAAAGAAAATACTTTAAACGTATACTCAATCTAGTCTTATTCCGTCATTAAAGGGAAGTAACTAATACCGATGCTAAATTTCAAATATGCAAGTGAGATTAGTCTCCCTCTTTTTCAAATACATTTCTGTTTGCTGCAAGGCCAAATTAAAAACTCGATTTGTTTCCTTTCCGCTATCAACAGTTATGCAGATTTCTGTACCTAGGTCTGGTCATTGACTCCTTTTAAGTATGTTATAGTTAATATCATGTCACACAGAGTATTTCTCCTTAAGATTGAGACATACAAGGTCCTTTTTCCATTCCTGAAAGCATAACAGCAAATAATTGTTTATGGAATGGAAATAACATTATTTAAATTTCGCCCTTTTGTTTCAAAAGACAGTCTGAAGATACACGATTCAAACAATAAAAACTGTATACTTAAAAAATGAAATTTAGAAAATTCTGGAGCGTAGAAATGTTTGCACTTTGATTAAGAGACAGGAAACAAATGTGTTTTATTAATCTAGCCTAGTGAGAAAAAAAATCTTTTTAAAATAAAGGGAAATTAATCCAACTAAAATAGTGTAGAGATGGTTATCACCCTTTGGTAATGCAGCTAGAATAGTAACAAGTTTATACCCCTTAAATTTCTCAGCATTAATATTAAATATGGATTTATCATGATCAGTTTATTGACTTATTTCCCCGCGCAATCGCAATTTTCCCGGCCCTTTCTCTCAATCTTCGGAAAGGACTAATCGGAGAGGAGTCCTGAATGAGTCCTGACTGTTTAAATATTGAAAGAGGTTTTTCTAACAAACCAGGACAACATGGTTGTATTACTTTCAAGCTGATGAATGTTACCGATGCTTTTAATTTTGTTAGGTAGATCTTTATCAAAAAAATCATTTTCATAAAAATCTTCAATTCGCGAAAAAAAGGTGTCAGTTTCTATTTATACAATACCGCTGGTGCTAGGACACGAGAGATGTTGCAATAGTCAACGTTTCTCAACAATGCCCGTATTGTGATATATTGTTAGTTAATTTCCTTGGCATTGAAGTATAAGCCTAAAAAAATTAATATGATTTTATCTCTGAATAATGTGAAAATTTTGTTTTACAATGTTTTGATAATGGATTTATAGGGAACGTTATATTTATGCCTATTTTGTGCACCAAAAAAGCATTTAATTATGAAGAAAGTTGCCATAACAGCACTTAATTTCAATACAAAATACTAAATCACTATTACTTAAATTGCAGCCAGAAAAAGTAACAAAAGAATAGATGGTTCGATTGTTTGTTCAATAAATAACGTTTAAAATTGAATACATGTATTTGTATATCAGCAGAGTTAATTACTGCAGGGCGGACGTATAAAGCGTCCGTCTCTTCAACTTTCCATGCCACTGTTTCATTTGCTTGTACGTATATATGATCATTTACTTCCCAGGGATCGGACACTCCTGATGGGGCTTTAAAGTCAGGTCGCTCACCGGAAGAAGATGAAATAATGGCATAGAGTGAGGTTGTCATATGTAAACATTTGATCTGTCAATTAAAGTTCGTGCGATATCATCGTATCATCTGAACCTGCTTTAACCGAAAGTTATTTACCTTTGAAACCAATATAGAGCCAGACCAGCCTGATAAACTATACATGTATATTTAATATATATTTTTGTGTTTTGTATTTGATATTATAGCTGCATGCATCCAGATGAGCCAACTTTTTTCAAGACACATAAACTGGAGAAAATGTACTAAGGTTTAGAATCAAGTAATAATTTACAATGAACGTAAAATGCACATGTAATGACTGGCTTTGCAGTATTTATCACAATATTTCTATTGCGATAGCGCTAATTGTGCATATTTTGATCTCTTTTTTGGTAGGCTAATCTACGTGGATTAAGTGCTGTTTCAATGTGTAAAATACTCTCTTTGCTCACTTTATTTTATTTTACTTTTAAATAAATTTTCATTAAAATTAGTATGCAGCTTTAAAATCTCTCAAACTTTGAACGCCTCTCTCCCAAATTAATAGGTTGATATATCCTTTAATCATTATAAAATCGCAGATTAAAGGTTCATATTAAAAAGAGATTGCTCACAAAACCACCTGAAATTTCCATCGATTGATTTCATTAGCCTGTCACGATCCCTTTCATATTTCAAATGATACGCAGGAGAGTGCTTGTCGAGGGAGGTGAGTTTTTTATTATTCATTTGTATTTTCTGTTTATTTATCATCGCGTTTCGATTGCCAATCACAGCGAGACCTTGAAGTATGAGTTGTTTCTATTTTCAAGGTTAGTGCTTTGATACATCAGGTGTCCCGTTTCCTAGTGCCCCGGTTCTTCTGCGCGTCTCGTCCTGAGCATCGATACAAGGGAACTTAGTTTTTTAAGGTCTCGTTATTAGTATTGCCAGTGGTGGAGCAAGTGATTGAACCTGCAGCCACAGGTTAACTTGTCCAGCGTGTTTCTACTCAAACACGAATCCGTCAAAGTTGATTATACTGGTATCTTCTGTGACACCATTCAGTCATTTTCTCACATGTCCAGGTAATTTCACTTTGTGCCAAAGGCTGCATAGTGGTAAAGATGTCTGCCTTTGAACAAAGAGACCGTGGTTTCGAACCGTGCTTGAATCCACAACCATGTCTCCTCATTTTATACCAATAATAGTTAGTTCAAGATGGGAAATAGGGAAAGGATCAAAAACTCAGGCAAATATAACTACGTTTCACTTAGTTCCTTTCACTCTTTATTCAATATTAATATGCTGAACTTAACAGAAAGATACTGAAGTTTCATTGTCTGACTAAATGGTGTTGTTGTTGTCTGTGTGTGTATTTTTTAATTTATTTATTTATTTATTTTTTTTTTTGGTTCCAAGACTCCAAGAAGAATAGTTTTTTCCCCGCATTTTCATTCCACAGTTATTCGGTAGACTATATTTAAGTGTTCATATTGGAGAAAACATCATACTCGCCGGTCTTTTTTTTGCGAATTGAAGTTCCGTCATTAAAGGGAAGTAACCAATACCGATACTTAATTTCATATATGCAGGTGAGATTAGTCTCCCTCTTTTTCAAATGCATTTCTGTTTGCTGCAAGGCCAAATTAAAAACTCGATTTGTTTCCTATGTGACTATCAACAGTTATACAGATTTCTTTCCGTGGATCTGGTTATTGACTCCTTTTAAGTATGTTATAGTTAAAATCATGTCACACAAAGTATTTCTTCTTAAGATTGAGACATATAGGGTCCTTTTTCCATTCCTGAAAGCATAACAGCAAATAATTGTTTATGGAATGGAAATAAGCTTATTTAAATTTCGCTTTTTTGTTTCAAAAGACAGTCTGAAGATACACGATTCAAACAACAAACAACGTGCATGCTTAAAAGTGTTATTAAGAACTTTCTGGAGCGTAGAAATGTTTGCACTTTGATTAAGAGACAGGACACAAATGTGTTTTATTAATCTAGCCTAGTGAGAAAAAAATCTTTTTTAAAATAAAGGGAAATTAATCCAACTAAAATAGTACAGTGGGTTATTATCCCCCTTTGGTATACGGCATTCATAATATGGATTTATCACATGGAGCAAATTCATATCAGTACCCGCTTTACACATATTGTCCAACAATATTGACCTGGCTGGCACTTCATTAATTTCCGTAAAGGTCAGGTGATAAACAGTGGTATCTAACGAATATATCGATATCTTTATTAACTTCACACGTCAATGAGTTGTGGTGTATTGGTATAAATGCCTGACTACTAATCTGAAGTTCCCTGGTTCGATACCTTACCAACACCACGTTATGAGGACATACATTATTTTTTAATTCATTTTGAAATTAACTTGCAAGAATTAATTTGAAATTGTTTTACTACATCTGGTTTTTAGGATACCCTTTAAGTAGTGTTTTTATTTCATTACATTATCTTTAATTAATAAAAAGGACAGCACGTCCATAATACAAATTAAAATTCATACACAACCAAAACTCAAAACGTTTTGCACGAGTTAAAAGAGAAATAGCAATTTTAAAATAAGAAAAAAAATATAAAAGTGGCTGAATCAGGATTCGAACCTACGAGTGTGCGTCTATATTTTTGAAGTGAAAGCACTTTACGACTGTGCTAAGAGGGATTTGTAATTAAGATCATTTAACAACTGGTTATATACATTCATATCGATTTACAATAGATAGTAACGTTTACGGAATTTACCGACTATTGGGTCAAATGCAAGAGTGTCAGGTCAATGTTGTTGGACAATACACAGGTCATTATCTGCTGAAAACAAGTAGGCGACATACAAAAATCTAGTAAATGTTCATCCCTCTGATAAAAAGTATTATTTCGAGTGAAAAAAAGAAGTATACCACTGAACACTAGAATGTATTAACTATGTCTGCCTAAGGAATTTGTCCATTCTCCAATAACTGCAACTCCAAAATAAGCTACATAAAATCGCGATGTGAAAATTACTATCTTTGCAGCCATGTCTCCCTATTTATCCACAATACAAGCTAAATTTGTAATGGTTAATAATCACGCAAAATATAAATTCGTTTCATTTAAATCGTTTGTCATCCTTCTGAACTTCAATGCATTAATATTCTGGACTTAATAGAGATATATTGAAGTTTCATTGTCCTTACTAAATGTATAGCTATGCACTTACATCGCTACCTATAATGTAAAAGTATTCTTTCTTGTGTAAATCTCTTATAAAAATATTAGAGCTATGCGGCTTGTTTTTTATTTTTATTATTATTATTATTATTATTATTATTATTATTATTATTATTATTATTATTATTATTATTGTTATTATTATTATTATTATTATTATTATTATTGGGGCGGGTTTGTCTTCCAAAACAATCCAAGTAGGTTCGTATTTATAATAATAAAATATACATCCTACTTAATTCACTTTTTTTATATTTCTTTAAGAAGAGATACTCCATTCATATTTTTCAAGGCTGGGCGGAAACATAAATCATACTGAAAAATCATATCCGCATTTGTGTTCGATAGTTATTCTGCCGACAATATTTAGTATTGGAGAGAACATAGTACTTTATTCATCCCACGATATCATTATTAGGTTTGTCGATGACCACTTACGGAAATATAGTGGGTATGTTGGATACATGAAAAGGGGCTGGTTAGCAGTTTATAACTGAAAGACTTGTAATTGTTAGTATTCAATATGCATGAGTTTTCTTGTCAATGCCTCTGAGGGATCGCCCGTTCTCCAGAATGATCGTCTTTTAAAGGCACATTATGTCTCAGATATGATTGAATATTTGCTTCTTTAGGCAGGTCAAACATGTGTTTTATTACGTTTAAATAATGGTTTAGAACATGCTGGATGCTTGTAATGCGTAATAACAGTAGGAAATATAAACAAAACAGTATTTTGACTTCCATACAAAATATTTAATCACCATAAAAGTACTTATAACCAAAAAGCAACAGATAAAGAGGACAGTAAAAGAATAACAAAAAAAAGATATTTAGAAATAAAAATGAAAGCATTTCTGATGCATAATGGGCCTTTAAGATACGATATGTCATACAGGAAGCAATCTTTTTCACACAAGCTCCACTTCCATGTTATAGGGAACTACAATCAACAATTCTGTATAGAAATCGTATTGGTAATCCGGACATGTGACAAATACAAGAAAAAAAACATTGACATTTTATGTCTTTTTTTGCCAGTATTTATTTTCAAATATAAACCCAAAAATTTTTAAAAGGGAACTTTTTTTTTAAAACCTTTTTTAAAGGGGGGGTTTTTTTTTTTTTTGGGGGGGGTTTTGGCTTAAAAACAAAAAAAAATTTTTTAAAAAAATTTTTTTTTTCCATTTTTTTTAAAATTAAAAAATTTTTTCCCAAAAAAATTTTTTTTTTTAAAAAAAAATTTTTTTAAAATTTTTAAACCAAAAAAAAAAACCCCAAATTTTTCCGGTTTTTTTTTTTGGGAATTTTAAAAAGGGAAATAAAAATTTTTTGGGATTTTTTTGGAAAATTTTTCCAATTTTAAAATTTTTTTTAAAAAAAAATTTTTTTTTAAAGGGGGGGGGAAAAAAAATAAAAATTTTTTTTAAAAAAAAAATTTTTTAAAAAAAAAGGGGAAAAATTTTAAATTAAAAATCCCTTTTTTTTTTTCCCCGGGAACCGAAATTTTTTAAAAGGAAAAAAAATTTTTTTTTTAAAAAAAAATTTTTTTTGGGGGGAAAAAAAATTTTTTTTTGGAAAAAAATTTTTTTTTTTTAAAAAACCTTTTAAAAATTGGTTTAAAAAAAATTTAAAAAAAATTTTTTTTGATTAAAAAAATTTTTTTTTTAAAAATTTTAAGGAAAAAAAAAAAAAAAAAAATTAAAAAAAAAAAAATTTTTTTTAAAAAAAAAAAAAAAAATTTTTCCCAAAAAATTTCATTTAAAAAAAAAAACCCCTTTTTTTTAAAATTTTAAATTTTGGGGGAAAAAAATTTTTTAAATTTCCCCAAAAAAAATTTTTTTTTTTAAAAAAAAATTTTAAAAAAAAAATTTTTAAAAATTTTTCCAAGGGGGTTTTTTTTAAAAAAAAAAAAAAAATTTTAAAAAAAAAAAATTTTTTTTTTTTTAAAAAAATTTACCTTTTTAAAAAATTTTTTTTTTTTAAAAAAAAATTTTTTTTTTTAAAAAAAAATTTATTTTCAAAAAAAAAACCCAATAAAAAAATTTAAAGGGAAAATTTTTTTTTAAAAATTTTTTCTTTAATTTGCCCCCCCCAAAAAAATTTTTTTCCCCCCCCCCAAAAAAACCGGTTTTTTTGGGGCCTTAAAAAAAAAAGGGGGGGGGTTTTTTTTTTTTTAAAAAATTTTAAAAAACCCCCCCAAACCCCCCAAAACCCCCAAAAATTTTTTGGTTTTTTCCCAAAAAAAATTTTTTTTTAAAGGGGGGTTTTTAAAAAAACAAATTTAAACCCAAAAAAAATTTTTCTTTTTTTAAAAAAATTTTTTTAAAAAAAAGGGGTTTGTTTTTTAAAAAAAAAATTTTTTTTTAAAAAAAAAAAATTTTTTTTAAAAAAAAAACCCAAAAAAAGGGGGGGAAAAACCCTTTTAATGGTTTTTTTTCAAAAAACCTTCAAATTTTTTTTTAAAAAAATTTTGGAATTTTGGGGCCAAATTTTATCCGGTTTTTTAAAAATTTTAAAGTTTTTTTTTTAAAACCAAGGGGTTTTTTTTTTTTTTGGGTTTTTTAAAAAGGGGAAAAAAAAGGGGGGGTTTTTTTTTTTTTTTAAAAATTTTTTTTCCAAAAAAAAAAAATTTAAAAAAAAAAAAAAAAAAAACCCCCCCCCCCCAAAAAAAAAAATTTTTTTCCGGCCCCCCAAATTTTTAAAAATTTAAAAAAAAAGGAAATTTTTTTTTCAAACCCAAGGGAAAAAAAAAAAATTTTTATTAAAAAAAATTTTTTTTTTTCCCCTTCCTTTTTTTTTTTTAAAAAGGGGCCCCCAAAAGGAAAAAATGTTTTTTTGGGGGGGGGTTTAAGTAAAATTTTTAAAATTTTTAAAAAAATTTTTCCAAAACCCCCCCCCCCCTTTTTTTTTCCCAAAATAAAAATTTTTTTTTTTAAAAAAAATTTTTTTAAAAAAATTTTTTTTTTAAAAGGGTTTTTTTTTTTTTAAAATTTAAAAAAAAATTAAAAAAAAAAAATTTTTTAAAAATTTTAAAAGTTTTATTTTTAAAAAATTAAAAATTTAAAAAAATTTACTTTTTAAAAAAACTTTTTTTAAAAAAAAATTTTTTTTTTGGGGGGGGGCCCAAAAATTTTTAAAATTTTTTTTAAAAAAAAAAAAAAAATTTTTTAATTTTTTTTTTTTTTTTAAAAAAAAACCCTTTTTTTAAAAAAAAAAATTTTTTTTTTTAAAAACCCCCTTTTTCCCCTTAAAAATTTTAATTTAAAAAGTTTTTTTTTTTTTTTAAAAAAATTTAAAAAAAATTTTTTGGGAAAAAAGGGGGTTTTTTTTTTTAAAATTTTTTTTTTAAACCCCAAAAAAAAACCCCTTTTAAAAAAATTTTTTTAAAAAAAAATTTTTTTTAAAAAAAAAAAAAAAATTTTTTTTTTTTTTTTAATTTTTTTTTTAAAAATTTTCCCCTTTTTTTTGGGGGAAAAAAATTAAAAAACCCAAAAAAATTTTAAAAAAAACCCTTTTTTTAAATTTTTTTTTTAATTTTTTAAAAAACAAAAAAAAAATTTTGCCTTTAAAAAATTTTTTTTAAAAATTTTTAAAAATTTTAAAAAATTTTAAAATTTTTTAAAAAAAAATTTTTTTTTTAAAAAAATTTTAAAAAAAAAACCCCAAATTTTCCAAAAAAATTTTTGGGTAAATTGAAAAAAAAAAAAAAATTTTAAAGTTTAATTTTTTTTAAAAAAAAAAATTTTTTTTCTTTAAAAAAATTATTTTTTTAAAAAAAAAAAAAAATTTTTTTTTTTTTTTTTAAAAAAAAAAAATTTTTTTTTTAAAAAACCCCCCCCAAAAAAAAAAAAATTTTAAAAAAAAAAAAAAAAAAGGAAAATTTTTTTTTAAAAAAAAATTTTTTTAAATTATTTTTTTTAAATTTTTCCCCAAATTTTTTTTTATTTTTTTTTTTTTTTTCCAAAAAAAAAAAAAAATTTTTTTAAAAAAAGGTTTGACCCAAAAAGGGGAAATTTTAAAAACCAAAAATTTTAAAAAAAAAGGGGTTGGGTTTAAACCCCCGGGGGAAAAAAAAATTTTTTTAAAAAATTTTTTTAAAAAAATTTCCCCGGAAAAAAAAAAGGAAAAAAAAAAAAAAAAAGGGTTTCCCCCCAAAATTAAAAAAATTTTTGGGAAAAAAAAATTTTTTTTGGGGAAAAAAAAGGGAAAAAAAATTTTTTAAAAAAAAACCCCTTAAAAAAAAAAATTTTTTTTTAAAAAATTTTGGGGGGTTTAAAAATTTTAAAACCCTTTTTAAAAAAAAACCCCCTTTTTTCCCCCCGGGGCCCCCCCTTTTTTTAAAAAAAAAAAAAATTTTTTTTAAAAAAAAAAATTTGGAAAAATTTAAAAAAAAAGGGGGGTTTTTTTTTTTTAAAAAAAAAAAAAAATTTTTTTTTTTTTAAAAAAAATTTTTTTAAAATTTTTTTTAAAATTCCCCCCGGGTTTTTTTAAAAATTTTTTTTTTTTTTTTTTAAAAAAAATTTAAATTTTTAAAAAGGGGGAAAAAAATTTTTCAAAGGGAAAAAATTTTCCCCCTTTTTTTCTTTTTTTAACTTTTTTAAAAAAAAAGGGGGTTTTTAAAAAAAAAAAAAAAACCCCAAAAAATTTTAAAAATTTTTTTAAAAAAAAATTTTTTAAAAAAAAAAAAAAAAAACCCGGGTTTTTAAAAAAAAAAAAATTTTTTAAAAAAAAATTTTTTTAAAAAAATTTATTTGGGCCCCAAAAAAAATTTTTGGGGGGTTTTTTTTAAAAAATTTTCCTTTTTTTTTTTCCTTTTTTTTAATTTAAAAAAATTTTTTTTTTCCCTTTTTTTTTAAAAAAAAAAAAAAGGGGAAAAAAAGAAAAACCCCTTTTAATTTAAATTTTAAAAGGAACAAAATTTTTTTAAATTTTTTTTTTTTTTTTAAAAATTTTTTTTTTTTTTTTTTAAAAATTGGGGCCCCCTCCCAAAAAATTTTTTTTTTTTTTTGGGGGGAAAAAAAGGGAAAAAAATTTGGGCCCCCAAAATTTTTTTTTTTTTTTTTAAAAAAAAATTTTTTTAATTTTTTTAAAAATTAAAAAAAAATTTTTTTTTTAACCCCCTTTTTTTTTTTTTTAAAAAAAAATTTTTTGGGGGAAACCTTTTTTTCTTTTTTTTAAAAAAATTTTTTTTTTTAAAAAAATTCTTTGGGCCCCAAAAGGGAAAAAATTTGGAAAAAAAAAATTTTTTTGGAAATTTTTTCCCAAAAAATTTTTTCCAAAAAAATTAAAAAAATTTTTTTTTTTTAAAAAAAAGGGGTTTTAAAAAAAAAAAATTTCTTTTTTTTTTTTCCCCCCCCTTTTTTTTTAAAAAAAAATTTTTTCGTTTTTTAATTTTTTTTTTTTTCCCCAAAAAAAAATTTTTTTTTTTTAAAAACCCCAAAAAGGTTTTGGGAAAATTAAATTTAAAAAAAAAAAGGTCCCCCAAAAGGGGGGAAAGGGGGGGGCCCCCCCCCTTAAAATTTTTTTTTGGGGAAAAAAAAAAAAAAAAATAAAAAAAAATTTTTTAAAAAAAACTAAAAAAAATTTTTTTAAAATTAAATTTAAAAAAAAAAATTTTTTTTGTTTTTTTAAATTTTTAAAAAAAAAAAATTTTTTTTTTTTTTTTTTTTTTTTTTAAAAAAAATTTTTTAATTTTTAAAAAAAAAAAAAACCCTTTTCTTTTGTTGTTTTTATAACAAAATTTTTTTTTTTTAAAAAAAAATTTTTTTTTTAAAAAATTTTTTTCCAAATTTTAAATTTTGGGGGGAAAAAAAAAATTTTTTTTAAAATTTTTTTTTAAATAAAAATTTTTAAAAAAAAAAAAATTTCCCCTTTTTCTTAAAAACTTTAAAAAAACCCCCCCTTTTTTTTTTTTTTTTAAAAAAAGGGTTTTTTTTAAAAAAAAAAAAAAAAAATTTTTTTAAAAAAAAATTTTTTTTTTTTTAAAAATTTTTTTTAAAACCCCTTTTTTGGGGGAAAAAAAAAAAATTTTAAAAATTAAAACCCAAAAAATTTTTTAAAAATTTTTTAAAATTTTTTTTTAAAAAAAAACCAAAAATTTTAAATTTTTTTTAAAAAGGGGTTTTTGGGGGAAAAAAAGAAAATTCCAAATTTTTAAAAATTTTTTCCTTTCAAAAAATTTTAAAATTTTTTTTTTAAAAAAAAAAAAAAAAATTTAAAAAAGGGAAAAATTTGGGGAAAAAAAAAAAAAAAGGGGGGAAAAAAAAATTTAATTTTAAATTTTTTAAAAAATTTTTTTTTTTCCCCACTTTTTAAAAATTTAAATTTTTCCCTTTTTTAAAAAAAAAAACCCTTTTTTTTTTTAAAAAGGGAAAAACCCCCTTAAAAATTTTTTAAAAAAATTTTTTTTCCCCCCCCCCCCAAAAATTTTTTTTAAAAAAAACTTTTTCCCCCCCCGGGGGTTTTTTTTAAATTTTTTTTTAAAAAAAAAAAGGGTTTTTAAAAAATTTTTATGGGAAAAAAACCAAAAAAATTTTTCCTTTTAAAAAAAATTTTTTAAAAATTTTTTTAAAAAAAAAAATTTTTTTTTCCAAAAAAAATTTAAAAAAAAAATTTTTTTTAAAAAAAATTTTTTTTTAAACAAAAAAAATTTTTTTTAAAAAAATTTTTTTTCCAAAAAATTTTTAAAATTTTTTTTTTAAAATTTTTTTGGAATTGGGGAAAAAACCCAAAAAAATTTTTTTTTTTTTAAACCAAAAAAATTTTTAAAAAAGGGTTTTTTTAAAAACCCCCCGGGGGTTAAAAAAAAAACCCAAAAATTTTTTTTTGGGGTTAAAATTTTTTAAAAAAAAAAAAACCCCCCCCCCCCCCAAATTAAAACCCCTTTTTTTTTTTTTGGGGGAAAAAAAAAATTTTTTTCCTTTAAAATTTTTTAAAAAAGGGGTTTTTTAAAAAACAGTTTTTTTTTTTTTCCCCCCAAAAAAAAACCCCCCCCCCCTTTTCCCCCCCTTTTTTAAAAAAAAACCCCCCCAAAAAAAAAATTTTTTTTCCCCCCCCTTTTTGGGGGAAAAAAAAAAATTTTTCCCTTTTGGAAAAAAACCCCCCTTTTTCCCCGGGGGAAATTTAAAATTTTTAAAAACCCCAAAAAATTTTTTTTTTTTTTTTCCCTTCCATTTTTTTAAAAAAAAGGGTTTTTTTCCCAAAAAAAAAAATTTTCCCCGGGGGGGTTTTTTTCCCTTTTTTTTTTAAAATTTTTTAAAAAAAATTTTAAACCCAAAAGGAAAATTTTTTTTTTTTTTTTTTTTTTAAATTTTTGGGAAAACTTTTTTTCCCCCCCCCTTTAAAAAAAAAAAAAAAATTTTTTTTTTTTTCCCTTTTTTTTTTTTTAATTTTTTAAAAATTTTTGGCTTTTTAAAAATTTTTTTTTCAAAATTTTTAAAAAATTTTTTTTCCCCCCGGGGGAAAAAAAAAAATTTTTTTTTTTTAAAAATTTTTTTGGGGAAAAAAAATTTTTTTTTTTTTTTAATTTAACCCCTTTTTTTTTTTTTAAAAAATTTTTTTTGAAAAAAATTTTTTTAAAAAAACCCCCCCCCAATTTTTTTTTTTAAAAAAATTTTAAAATTTTTTTGGTTTTTCCCCCTTTTTTTTAAAATTTTTTCTTAAAAAATTTTTTTTTTTAAAAAAAAAAAAAAAAAATTTTTCCCCCAAATTTTTTGGGGGGGGAATTTTTTTTTTAGACCCTTTAAAAAAATTTTTTTTTCTTAATTTTTCCCCCCCCCCCAAAAAAGGAAAAAAAATTTTTTTTTTTTTTTTAAAAAAAAACCCCAAAAAAAATTTTTAAAAAAAAAGGGGGGGAAAAAAAAGGGAAAAAGGGGTTTTTAATTTTTTTTTTTTGGGGTTTTTAATTTTTTAAGGGGGGCCCCCCTTTTTTTTTCCCTTTGAACTGAGAATAAGGAACCATGGGTGGTGTTGAGACGCAGGCAAATGGAGCAAATCTGTGACTATACCGTACTTCTTCTTTATCATACTCAAAGTTCGGATGTTTTAATTTGTTGGCTAATTGTAAACCCATCACAGCCTGTCAAATTATAAAATGTTTTTTATTTTTTCCTGTATGTATAACTTAAGATGTTCAGTTAGTTACTGTTTTTGACTTAAGCACTTTTACATAAAAATCATTAAAGATATACATTATCTCTTATTTAAGATTTTATAGTTACATTTATGAAAGTTTCATATGAACATTTTTGTCATTATCCTGTAAATCATATACATCTTCTACACTTATTTTCTGTACTGTAATAAATACATAAATTTGGCCAAATTTGGATAAAATTTTTGACTTGATGTCAACTTATTTAAAATTTCATTAACATTTAAGTCAAATATCAGTTTTCTTCTCATATCCCTAGATCGCTCAGCTAAGACTCATTCATGAGAAGTTTGGTCAAAATCTTCCATGTGATTAAAGAAGGTTGTCGTTTAAACAAAATTGGACAATGATGTATAACTGCAAGATTGACATCATGCTTTCACAAAAGCTCATTTCTAAGCACTTTGTGCTCAGGTGAGGTAATAACAACAAACAAGCAATACTTTATAATATCCTCCAAACATGTTCTGTTGAGCCTGGCAAATGTTAGCCTCTTTCTGAACACCTTTAGAACGCCTCTTCTTCTTTCCCTTCTTACTTCCCCTACCTTTACTGCTCACCATATCTGTAATAGTGTGAGCATTCAATGAATTACCTTTCAAATTTTACATAACTCTATTTAAGGATATAAAGATGAAAACAGTGGGTGAAACATTGAGAATTAGTTCAAGACCTAATTTTTCACTTATATTTAAAATGTCAGATGATACTCTTTAGATAGCCAACTGCCCTTATAGAGTCTTTGCCCAACTTTTGACTTTCTATTACACATAGACTGTCCACAACACTGTTTTAATAATCATTCATTTAAACAGCATGTTTAACTGGTTAAACACTAAGCGTTCCTATGGAAAGTCAGTCAGAGACTAAGTTAGCTGCATGATAATAACAAAATATTAAACATCTTCAACAGCTTAAATCCTTCCTGTGTCACTCCTTTTTAGGTTGGCACTTTTTGCATTGGAAGATATCAGTTACGAATTCAAGACTACCACTGCTCTAAAGAATGCTCCGACAGGTTAAGGTCATGCACAGTATTATTTCTTTTATCATTTTGGAACAAAGAATCAATATTATAATTACCTATGTAAGCTTCATGATCTATAACAAAGGAATCTGCACGCTGAATGGTGGAAAATAACCAGGAATACAATAATTCATATAGGTACCTGAAATCATAACAACTCATACAAGGACTTGAAAGCATAACAACTCATACAAGTACCTGAAATAATAACAACTCATACAAGTACCTGAAATCATAACAACTCATACAAGTACCTGAAATAATAGCAACTCATACAAGTACCTGAAATACTGCGAATTCACTTATATTCGTGGGCATGAAATTTCGTGGTTTTATCAAAACGGGCAATTTCGTGGGTTCTTAAATTCGTGGATTTTCATTTTCTTGTAAAAAAAAAAAAAAAAAAACGTAATGAAAAGTAATCTTAAAATTAACCGTCGCGCATTTTTACTTACCGCGTGATATCATACAGTGCTTGTCAATAATCTAATCCTTGCCTCTAGGCATAACATAAAGATAGCAGTTACTGCCGATAATTGACTGCAATTAACACATCTAGATGACATGATATACAGCTCCATTGTACACACTGCCCCTGTGATTCGCCGATGTAAACATTGCATAATTTATACGACCCCTGACACGTTTTAACCAGCGAGTTTAAAAAGTTTACACCTTGAATCGGTCTTACTATATTTGACAGTAACTACACGCAACATCACATCGACTGTGTAAATTTACATGCATATAACTTAATATGAGTGAATAATACGAGATAGTGTGGATATATTAAGAAATCGGCAGCGTCTTTGATGTTTACGGAATTCACGAATTCGAAAACCTAGCTAAACGCCGTTTCCGGTACTTTCTGTACATAGCTCAGGGGAATTCACCTTATGGAGTGTAATAGTGAACTCAATGTTTTCGGCCTTTCTTTAAATTAAACTGAAATAAATCAGTAATTTCTTTATAAGAAAATAATTAAATATCATTGTATGAATAATTCCATACAAAAAATAAAGTAAATACACAAGTTTACGCAGAAAATAACCTTATATCCACTACGTCTTTTTGAATTTTATTGATTTTCGTTATAAACAATTTATTTTTTTGAATAATTTGCAATAGGTATTAAACGAATATTGCTAATTTTCAAAAACATCATTTTTTCACCTTAAACGGTTAAATAATGATAGGAAAATAGACATATCTCGTAACTGTGTTATGTACTTCATTTGGTGTAATTCCCCAGAGCTAAAACAGTAACGTACCGGAAAACGGTGTTTAGCTAGGTTTTCAAAAAGGTCAATTACAGATTAAAATTTTAACTGGATCATTTAAAGACGACAAAAGGATGAACAATTCATCCATTTTAGTGATTGTTTATTATTTTTTGTGTATTTTACTTACGACATTAATATCAAAGATTTCTTTAATTCTATTTACAATTAATGAGAGCAAACTGACAATTTATATTAGCGCTAATTATTGCACTGGTTTCCAATTTTTACTCGATTATGTCAAGTATTCAGGATTACACAATCAAGTAGCCTACAACAATTAAGCAGTCTCAGTGATGTGTATATACGACTGAAATTCAGGACATTAAGTCGACTTTGCTTTCAATTTTCTTTAATATTGCAAACCTTAACTATTTATAGATTTAATCTGATTATCTGTATACCATCATAACACAATAATCGACGGAAAAGTGGCGACGCATGCATAGAAAAGAGACATGATTAGAAGTAATTGTTGGGATAAAATTTCGTGGGATCTAAAATTCGTGGATTGACCTACCCACGAAAACCACGAAAATTCGTGCCTCACGAATAATAATGATTTTACAGTAATAACAACTCATACAAGTATCTTTGTTTTTCTGACTTTTCTCATGTTTTTCGCTTTAAATGCTTTCCACATGTTTCAAGCATTTCACAATTTAAGGCGAGAAATATTTGTATAAAAGCCACTCACATAGGCATTAAAATAATTAATAGGAGCAGATCAGTGTATAAGGAATAAAAGGAGAAATTTAATTCAAAAGTGTTTTATTTTTTTCTTCATAGTTGTTTAAAAGTTAAAATTAAAACTTAACATTTGGGGAGTTCTCACTCTTCAATGTTGTAAAAGAAAATCACGCCAGCAAGAAAGAGCAAATGACCTTTTTGTCCAAGACTTAATTTAATTAAATTTAACTTTGCCAAATGACCTAAGAAGAGCCATTTAGACTTAATACCAAACAAAACAAGAACATGACACACTAATCAACTTCAGGTGAAATGAAATACATATCTACATCATTAAAAAAGAAATAACCAAACTTACCAATACACATAATGATATTCATAGGGTGCGTACAGCTCTAACTCGAAACCTGACAGTGTATAATTGATCATGACTTGTAATGTATAATATAACACCCAGGTACCAAAACTTGAACCATACTGTCTATTGGGGTCAGTCTTCATCTGAACTTGGTGCAGGAAACCATCTACCTTATCAGCCTGTGCATTAAACAAAACAAAAACATACCTAATTTTTGTGGTTTATATTGGGTTTGGTAAAATCTACAATGTGATCTACTTGAGTTATTTCTTGCATGTAGATCTGATTCCCACTGTATTTGTTTCACCTTCATTGTGATTTTGATTGATGGAGTAAATAAGGTGCTGATTTGTATCAGATTGGTAAATTCTAATGACAAACAATTATCAGTGTTCCTAGATTCTGTCCCAGTTTTTACACTGTATAACATCCAATTTTGTGCTAAAAAACTTATATTGCTATGAAAATTAATATGAAGATTAATGTGAAGATAAAAGTCTGAGATTTACATTTGTGATATACATGTACATGTACTTACCCTGAGATGAGATCAAAAATCAAATTATAACTGTCATTCTACATTCAAATCTTAAATCCATAAATCAGCTTATCCACGAAAATTAGTGCTGCATGAATTACAATGATTTTACAGTAAAAAAAAAAACAGATTTAAAGAAACCTCGTCTTGAAGATTCGCCATCTCGTCCAGCAGGTGAGCCCACTTGTCACGTTGCCGTGCACGATTGTGACCAGTTATTTGTAACACGGTACATATAGGTCGCACTGCTCGGGTCATCAACGCATCAACATACTGTTTTACATCAGGATTGTTATAGATGGGTGCTCTGTTAAATATACAAACAACTCTGATTTTTTTTTTAAGTTGGGTTTTATGTCGCACCATTTTTAGTTGGGTTTTATGTCGCACCAACACAGTATAGGTCATACTGCGACTTTACACCTTTACTGATGGAGGAAGACCTGAGGTGGCCTTCTGGGCATTATTTCAGGCAAGAATGGGCACGCGAGTAGAACCACGACTAGCTGGATCACAGGAACATAAATAAAACATAATGTAAGACAAGCTAAATGTTGGTGTCACAATATAACCAAGTCAAAGAAAAATTATTCTTTTTCACTTTAAAAAGTTTTCATTTTTGGTATGAGATAAATAGAATATAATATTCATGTAGGTTCATTACTTAATTTATTAAACTTGTTGAATAAAATAATATTATGCTCGCCAGAGGCTTGCTTAATATATTTATTCATCTTGTCAATAAATTCAGTATTGAACTTACACTCATTCATTATGTTCTATATATTTGACAAGCCTTTATCATATTACTGAGTGTTATCAATTTTAAAAGAAATATTACAAACTTTGGTGCGAGTGCAGGAGGCATGACAAATGCTCTCACAGAATCTTTTAGAAAGTCTGTCAGTGTATGTTTACCAAATACTCTTCTACTTGGAGGTAAAAATGACAACTGAAAAAAAAGATCACAAATATGGAAAACTGTATAAAATGTGAAAATTTGTCAAAATCTTTTATCTTGTTTAAAGGTAAAGCAAGGTAAATGAAGATTAATAATGGTAGATAACTAATCACAATATGCCAGATAATATTTAAGTATATAAAAATGCTATGACCTCATGTAAATATAAGTTTTAACACAGAGCTATATTTAAATGGATAAAAAGCTATGATGTCATACACTTAAAGACTGTAAATTTTCTATTTTTACAGCTTCCCTATGTAATACAAGTCTCTGGTTTTAGCCATTTTTAAAAATTTACATGTCCTGTAAGGGAAAAATTAAAAAATCCTGCCCAGTACAGCACTTCATCAGTATAGTTTAAAAAACATTTTGCTCAAATATTACCAATTCCTATTTTTCTGTAATAACTTTTCTTCACAATACTTTACCTGTAACATAGACCTTGTTAACACACACGGTGACAGTTTACTGAATTCCTTGAACACTTCCTGAAAAAATAATACATACAAATGTAAAACATAAACACAGAAGTTAAATCCATCTTCAAAGTATCTAATATATCACTTCAATATCACCAAATCAAAATTGAATAATAACGATATGTGAATGCAAGATTTAATAAACAGACAACAGCAATTACAGTTGGGGTAACAAGAAACATGGCAATGCCATGAAACCAGGTTTTCAATTATCACCATTGTAGATAAATATGTTGTATTTGAAATACAAATACAAGCAACAAACAATGTAACTATGTGCAATGAAAAACATGAATAATGTAGGAGGAATTGCCACAGAGGAAGTGTTCACTATAATTATATTCTGTATAAGGAAAAAAAACAAAGGGCCATAATTAAATAAAAAATTATTCAATCACAAAACCCTGACAATATGCGCCAGGGCACTGGATAAAAAAGCTACTGTGAAAGTTTGAACAAATTCTGTTGAGAAATGTAGGAGTTCAGCACAGAAGAATTTTTTCACTATATATTCTGTATAAGGAAAAATAACAAAGGGCCATAATTAGGTCAAATATTATCCAATCACAAAACCCAGATAATGTGCGCCAGGGCACTTGATGACAAAGCCTCTGTGAAAGTTTGGTCAAAATCTGTTGAGAAATGTAGGAGAAGTTGCGCATGGTAAAAATTGTTCACTATATAATCTGTATAAGGAAAAAAACAAAGGGCCATAATTAGGTCAAATATTATCCAATCACAAAACCCCGATAATGTGCGCCAGGGCATTTGATAACAAAGCTTCTGTGAAAGATTGGTCAAAATCTGTTGAGAAATGTAGGAGAAGTTGCGCATGGTAAAAATTGTTCACTATATAATCTGTATAAGGAAAAAAAACAAAGGGCCATAATAAGGTCAAATATTATACAATCACAAAACCCTGACAATATGCCCTAAGGCACTTGATGACAAAGCCTCTGTGAAAGATTGGTCAAATTCCGTTGAGAAATGTAGGAGGAGTTGCGCACAGAAAATCGTTCACTATATAGCCTATATTGGGAAAAAAAACAAAGGGCCATAATTAGGTCAAATATTATCCAATCACAAAACCCCGACAATATGCGCCAGGGCACTTGATGACAAAGCCTCTGTGAAAGTTTGGTCAAAATCCATTGAGAAATGTAGGAACAGTTGGGCACAGAAGAAGTTATTCACTATATATTCTATATAAGGAAAAAAAACAAAGGGCCATAATTAGGTCAAATATTATCCAATCACAAAACCCGGACAATATGCGCCAGGGCATTTGATGACAAAGCCTCTGTGAAAGTTTGGTCAAAATCCATTGAGAAATGTAGGAACAGTTGGGCACAGAAGAAATTATTCACTATATATTCTATATAAGGAAAAAAAAACAAAGGGCCATAATTAGGTCAAATATTATCCAATCACAAAACCCCGACAATATGCGCCAGGTCACTTGATGACAAAGCTTCTGTGAAAGTTTGGTCAAAATCCGTTGAAAAATGTAGGAGGAGTTGCGCACAGAAGAAATTGTTTACGCCCGCCCGCCCGCCCGTCCGCCCATCCGCCCGCCGACATACCTCAATCTAATAACCAGTTTTTTCCTTCGGATAACCTGGTTAACGCCATCCGCCCGCCGACATACCTCAATCTAATAACCAGTTTTTTCCTTCGGAAAACCTGGTTAATAATCATCTTGGCCTGAATGCTGATTTGAGAAAAAAAACAGCAGCATTACAATCAGGGATGATGCCCATTAATGAACAATGTCTGAAACAAGTACATGTATCATATCAAAATATGCAAATTCAGAGTGTCTGAAATTTGTATTCTTTGCACTATCTCATTGAAATAAACTTTTGAACCCAAATAGATTTGCCTGGCACATAGCTTTTTACCTCATAATTATACCTGCATACTGGTGCAGATAATGAATTGCCTTAACTACCAATATAGAACCAAAACATATTGCATATCTGTCCAATTAGGCATGACTCTGGTCTGATTACTGATTAATTTTAGTATTTTCATATAAAAAAATCTGTTATTTACCAAATACGGAGAATAAAGAACCCATTTTACAAATTAAGCATAGTAACTATGCTAATACTAACTATACTATGAGTTAAATTGGATTGCTCTTCAATGCACACATTTTCCATAAGAATTTCATATGTTGATAAAAACAACATTTATATGATGAATACTTATATTTTGTTAAACATTTCATTATCTGCTGTATATTGATATGTCATATGGGATCTGACACTTGCCAACAACAGCTATGTGTATATATATATTTCTTTTGTGGTTAGTTGTTATGTCTGATACTAAACATTATCAATGTTATTATTTATTGTTTTACAAACCTTCCATTATAGACCAATTCACTTTAACCCTTTACCTGCTGAAATCGAGTGATTACCGTTAGCCACCAGTATGCAGCCAGACTATGAGGGACACATGCTCTATACTGCTGGCCGCTCATTTTTAAATTTTTAAACTTTAAATGGGCTATTCCTTATTCAAAACTGGGCAAATCCAGTAGACAAATTCGGCATGGTAACGGCTGGAGTTCATACAATCATAACTGTAGTTAAGAGATGTAATGAAGAATGTACTTAAGTACTTACATAAACATCTTGTATATTGCTGGCGGTTAGAACAGCTGTGGTCATCTCCAACATATTCAGTAATGTTTCCATGTAGTCCACCGACGAATCACGGCTATGTATGACAGTATAACGAGGAAATGTTGGTGGCAACAGTCTCTGGTTGATTAATGGCTCAAAACCCATTATTGTTGGGTAATCTGAAATAAACATTTACCTGTTTATAGACATTTCTGTTACTTACATCCAATCACTTGTCCCTCATACTTTGGATTAAACAAAACAATTTCTCTCCATATAAGAAAGTTAGGAGGGCCACATTAGGCCACCTCCACAAGTAAATCTTGTTAAGCTACCATATATTATTTGACCCTGAACTCTTAACAAATGAAAGGCACATCAGCAATCAGCATTCAAAGGAGTCTTTCATGCATTACTGGTTTGGGAAAGACCTAGAGAAGATCTCAAGCTTTATTAATTATAAGGTACCATATGATGTCTAGATAGATTTCATAAATATGAATACAACATATAAACTGTATATACAATCAAAATGCTTTCTAACCATTTTTTGTAACTTCTCTTTCCTCAGGTTGTATTCCTAAATTAACAGATGATTTCATTGGTTGTATCAGTTCTAGCAACTGACCAATCAGCTTCTGCGCTTGTGGCACACCTTCACACTGAAAAAAGTTATGAAATACTAGCTATGATTTATTGCTTGGATACAATTAGTTAGCTATGATTTATTGCTTGGATACAATTAGTACATTAATATACACTTTAAATTGTCCATAGCAACATGTGTTAGCCATGATATTTTTTATTTCTGACACATTTTGTTGTTCACTTCACTTTTCTATAAATTAACTGGACCATTATGACACACATGTCTTTCCTGTAATCACTTAGGCCCACCCTCAGTGTTACATGCATTATACCCTGGCTTATCCCACATATGTATTTCAGAGGCTGTGTCTGAAAACCATTATTTAACATTGTTAAATCAGTTATGCTATAGATGTTATCAAAATTAGTCTTTATAAGAAACAAATGTGAGTGATGAACTATGGTGACGAACTCAGGAAAGTGTCAAAATTCTTAAAGCATGCTAAAAACAAGAATCCCCAATTAACAGGTTTTGTTTTTTAGAAAGTAATTAAAATTGATTTTAAATTTGTTTTGATTTCATAAGTATGTAGAACTTTTTTCATTTTCTGTCTAATCAGCTTAAATAATTAAACGTTTTCAACTGTTTTATCATATTAGTAATAGCCAACAAATCTTTTTAATCAGTTAACTCAGTAAAGTGCTGTAACTCATAAATATTTATATATGTACATATACAAGTAATAGAATTAAAACAAGAGTTATTTATCAGTAACTACTAAAAGAAATCCTTTCACACTCAGCTAAGGGTCATAACTTAAATACAAATCATCTTCATGGTATCTAAAAGAGTGAGTTACCTACTCTGCCTTTATTATATATCATAACTCAGCCAAGGGTTGTAACTCTAACAAAACAAAACTATTTTTATCACAACAAGTGCTTGACACAGTTACCTACCTTGTCTTTACTAAATGCTATCAGCATGGACAATAACAGTTTATAAAACTTTATCCTGGTACACACAGCTACACACAACTTATACTGAAATATGGAATACATACTAATATAAAACAAGTGACAGAAAAACCTGGTAATCTATTATAATTACATTTGTGCAAAGAAAACTAGAAATGTGTCATCATGCCACGGATGCCCCCGCATGCAGCTTAAATTTCAAATGTTATAATATTTAGTTCCAAATTTGTTTGCACAAATTATTTTATTCATTCTAAGTTCAAAGCCCTTAAAACTTTTCAATGTTAACACAAACCATTTTTATACAATGTTCAAGGCACTGAAATCATTCAGTCTTAACCTTTTGAAAATAGCATATTGCATATTTGTAGCCAAAATAATGGCTAAATACATTTCCACAAAAGTATGAGTGCTGAAACTGAAAGTTCAAAATTTTTCCAAAATTCAGGAAAGATAAGTTTGTCTAAAATCATTGAACCGCGACCAAATTCAAACTTAAACTGCTTATTCCTAAGATGTATCTATATTATTTTCAAAGTGAAAGGGACATAACTCTGCCAAAAAAATCATCAAACCATGACCAAATTCAAACTTGACCTGCCCTTTCCTTTGACATATCCATATGTCAAATTTGAGTTGAATATGTAACACTGTTGGGTTGATAATGAACAGAAACTGTAAATTTCATATTATTTTCAAAGTGAATGGGGCATTACTCTGCCAAAAATCATTGAACCATGACCAAATTCGAACTTGACCTGCGCATTCCAAAAACATATCCATATGTCAAATTTGAGTTGAATGTGTAATATTGTTGGGGAGATAATAAACGGAAACTGAAAATTTCATATCATTTTTTAAAGTGAAAGGGGCATAACTCTGCCAAAAATCATCGAAACCATGACCAAATTTGAAAATTGACCTGCGCATTCCTTTGACGTATCAATATGTCAAATTTGAGTTGAATGTTTAATACTGTTGGGGAGATAATAAACAGAAACTGAAAATTTCATATTATTTTCAAAGTAAAAAGGAGCATAACTCTGCCAAAAATCATTGAACCATGACCAAATTTAAACTTGACCTGCGCATTCCTTTGACGTATCCATATGTCAAGTTTGAGTTGAATGTGTTGTACCATTGGGGAGTTAATGAATGGAAACTGAAAATTTCATATTATTTTCAAAGTAAAAGGGGCATAACTCTGCCAAAAATCATCGAACCATGACCAAATTTGAACTTGACCTGTATTTTCTCATGACATATCAATATGTCAAGTTTGAGTTGAATGTGTTGTGTACCGTTGGGGAGATAATGAACGGAAACTGAAAATTTCATATTATTTTCAAAGTAAAAGGGGCATAACTCTGCCAAAAATCATCGAACCATGACCAAATTTCGAACTTGACCTGTATTTTCTCATGACATATCCATATGTCAATTTTGAATTGAATGTTTTGAACCGTTTGGGAGATAATGAACGGAAACTGAAAATTTCATATTATTTTCAATGTAAAAGGGGCATAACTCTGCCAAAAATCATTGAACCATGACCAATTTCGAACTTGACCTGTATTTTCTCATGACATATCCATATGTCAAATTTGAGTTCAATATGTGCAAGGGTTATTAAGATAATGAACGGAAACTGATGATGACGGAAGGACGGAAGGACGGAATGACGGAACAGGGTAACACTATATGCCCCTGCCATTATATGGCGGGGGCATAAAAACCAGAAGCTATTTGTGTTGTTCTGCCGATAAAACATAAAATAACAAGCAATTATCATAGTATTGCAAGCAATCCATAAGTCCCCTACCGGTAAGAGCCCAAGAAACATTCTGAAGGGCCATTGGCCATTCACTTATGTTCCTATTTTAAGTAAATTTGTTGAAAAAGTTCTTTAAAAGTGATCACAGGAAACAGTTTTTATGTACAGACAGACGGACTGAAGGACACTCTAAAGTTATTTTTTAAACATCCCTGTTATCAAAATATAACATTTTTAAAATCCTACCATGATTGAAGAAGTTGGAGTAAAAATTACCAATTTCTCAAAAAAAAGTCTAAGTTCAAAAGGGGCATAATTCTGGAAATAGTCTTAGTAGAGTATTGAACACTCACAAATGTTGAGTGATAATAAGAAACATTTATATGAAGTTTGAAATAGATACATTCAGAAAAAGAAGTTATTAAAAAAAAAAATGTTTTTTTTCATGAAAATTTTAAGTTCAAGGGAGGTAATTCAGATAAATTTTGCACTAGAGTTGTAAACCTTGTCACATATGATGTGGTTGATGACAAGCAACTTATATTTAAAGTTTGAAGAAAATACCTTAAGAAATAAAGAACTTATAGTGACAAAACTTAAAAACTAGAATCAGAAATCTTGAAATTCAGTCTATTTGTTGCCATAGCAACCAGAATTTTCAACATAGGAAGATAAGAAAAGGATGTGCATTATTTCCATACTGCCATCTACCCATATGTCAAGTTTCATAAACATATTTTCAGTACTTTTTGTGTTATCACTGGATCCAGGTTATGTGTAAAATTTGCCATATTTTCAGTCTATTTGTTGCCATAGCAACCAGAATTTTCAACATAGGAAGAAAAGAAAAGGATGTGCATAATCTCCATACTGCCATATATCCATATATCAAGTTTCATAAAAATATTTTCAGTACTTTTTGCGTTATCCCGGGATCCAGGTTATGTGTAAAATTTGTCATATTTTCAGTCTATTTGTTGCCATAGCAACCAGAATTTTCAACATAGGAAGAAAAGAAAAAGACGTGCATAATCTCCATACTGCCATCCATCCATATATCAAGTTTCATTAAAATATTTTCAGTACTTTTTGCGTTATCGCGGGATCCAGTTTTGTGGACGAACGGACTGACGGACGGACAGACGGACGGACGGACTGACGGACAGACGGACGGAGGGTAAACCTAAAGTCCCCTCCGGTAAACCGGTAGGGGACTAATAAAATTCCTGATAATAGGGGGCTACAGACTTGATGAAAATTATTCTGTGAAAGTCTTGTTGAAAACCCTTGAGAAAAGTTGGAGGTGAAAATGGAATAATTGTTTGTTTGCTTTCTTTAACTTATCTAATAATTGTAGTTCTCTATAAGAAGAATATAGTATAAACCCTTTTTTAAGAACACCAATAAACAATATAATCTCAATAGCAGAATGACAAATTGGGGCCTTATTACTGAAAATTGTTATTTTGTCTTAGATATATTATTAAATGATAGCTGTCTATGGTTCTCAAGTATTTACATGTTTACATCATAGTTTCACATACTATTATGAACTAATTAATCATCAAATACATAAAGGAATTGGTAAAAACCCTTATAAAAGGTAAAGGTAAAGGTCTTGTTTATTATAGTGTCACCCCTACTGAAAGGGCCAGCCATTTTGACTTATGAGACACCTTTTGCTTGCATACCATGTACCTCCCAATTCCTATCACTATGCCAGGCGCCAGGCGGATAGAAATCGGTAACCATTCATTTTAACTACCTCGCAGCTCACGAAGCGGCCATTTCGGAACGATTATATTTACCTCTTTTTCCTTCTCACCATTATCTCCCTCCCCTTGCAATAACCCTTTAATATGCTGAAATAAAAACAAGTGAATAAAAAAAAACTATAGCATATTATGCCATAATTCTTGTTAATGATGATAAAGATCTTAAGTCACTATTCATATACTGTATAAGTGAATATTTCCGCATGTCGAAAAGTTATAAAAATTTTAAACTCCTGACATTTTGTTTGACAAAATATTAGCAAATCGTGCAAGGGTAGAATTAAATGACAGGTTGTTTAATATTTAAGCTATAGGAAATTTTAGTGAGTTTCGTCAATTCGTGAAATTTGCCAATATTTCCGCATCGCTAACTTATCCTCTTATACAGTATAGTAATATATTATTGACAGGGTTAAATCAAACGATCTATGTCAGCCAACAGCAAAATTCATATAAATACACCAAGCTGTTTATCTGAGTCTTGAGTTTCTAGAATGAATATTCATTTGACTAACCTCCAATTCGAAGCTTAGAAATTTATAATGATGTCCAAGATGGCTGCCAAATCCCTTTGACTAAAATTTTGCTATAAGTTGAACATATTTTTCAAACCTCAATTCAACAATGACGTCAATGGAGCAGCAAAAAAGTGGGTGTAACAAGAACTTGAATAAGGTTCATCCACATAGTTTTTTTGCCAATAAAAATAGGTCCAATGTCTGGGCCAACTTTAAGAAGAAAAGTATAAAAAAACAACTGGCATTTTAGCTTTTGAAAACAAGTGTAATGACTGAGCCCACATTCAAACGGAAAGATATACAACTGCTTTTCAACGATTTTGTATTTTACCCGGATATTTCTGTTGAGATCATCCTCCACTTCTTTCATCATACCAATAGATCTCATATCTGTAACATCACTGCCCATTTTAAACCCATACGTCAGTGGCTGGAAATCCTCCTACAAAATACAGTACATTTGTTTATTTTTCTGGGTTTTTTACACCGTTTTTACGCATTTCTTTGGTTATATCTCAGCCATCAATCCAGCTAATCAACTTTCCTAGATAACTAAGCAGAAATTACTGATTTCTTTGAAATTAACTGACCACTAATCCCTTCTGATTTCTTAATCAGATTTGAGGAACAATTGACCATTAGTCTCAATGTCAATTGTCACATGAAAATAATGTCTCACCCAAGGATAAACCCAGTGCCCCCGAGCCGTACCATGATCAACATCCCACATACGGTTGTTATTAAATACTAGTACACAGTAGAGACTGCCCAAGTGACCCTCTGATTTCAACGACTCTTGTCTAATCTGACCTAGTTTCAGTCTGCCCAACATATTTCCTTATATAAATGGTCTAAATCATACGACTCCCTGGCATATGTGACCTTTTTCTAAATGTCCCTTGGAAAGTCACATCGACTTTATAAGAGATACTTTTTCCAAATATTTAAAGCATAAATCCAGCACTTACTTCTTCAAACACCCCCGCCCTGTTAATTCTATCTCGGATCAGATCTACAATTTTCAGCATACATATAGAGAAAGCTCTCAGACATCTGTCGTCTATCAGTGATGGATCGTGGAAATACAGGTTAGTGAACACTGTCTGTGCCAGTGAATGACCTTCCAGCCAAGTTACCTGTACAATATACAAAATTTGTTCAAATGTTTTATTTTTTTTAAATGCTACCAATCACATTAACAGTAAGTTTATTCCTTTATCATCCCCTCATACAAGTCAGATAGCCTCTTGTTTCCATGCTCTTTATGTTATGTTTTTTTTCTTCTATTTCATAATTAAATGAAAATTGTATTTTTTTTTACTTTTTCTAAATTAAATATTAAATCTCCACAAAGAAATGAATCGAAGGAGAAACTCACAAATAGAAATCTGTGGTATTTCTTATGTGTAGGGATAGAAGGATTGGCTAATTAAAACCATAATTACATGCAGGCATGCTTTACAATGGAAATTAAAAAAACAACATTTGTTGTTTTTTTTTTATATATTTTCAAAAAATCAATATACATGTATTTAGAAACTGTCCAGCTAACATTATGCCTCAGAAACAAAATAGTTTTCACTTCTTTAGAAGGGGCTAACATGAATTTCATAATGTTTCAATAATGGTTTTAGAGAATGTTAGATGTTTGCTACCTGAAGAAAGTAGCGGTTTCTGTAAAATAATTTGTCATAAAAGTAGCAAAATGTAAAGAAAATAGTATTCTGACTTTCATACAAAATACTTATTCACCATAACATACCGTTTACTATCACCATGAATCTTTTCTAAAAATACTTCATATGTTTTAAATAATCTTACCATACAAGCTAGAGAAGCATCCATTATACCAATTAATTCTGTGTGCTGCAAGTCCTTGAGCTTTACACTTCCTGCCTATAAATAGAATCAAAAGAATTATACAATCTTCCAAGCCGTCAAGTAAGCTCAATAGGTAGAGAATTGGACTGTGAATTGGGCAACCCTGGTTTGATTCCCAGAAGGTGCAGGTCACATTTGTTGCGATTGATCATGAAATCCTCCCTACAGTCATTCACATTGTACGTCTGCTTTGGCATATACAGAGGTTATCAGTTCCTTTGCGAAAATGAAGTGCTAGACAGTCTGCTCAGGAATGATAAGGTGGCTAAATTGAGCTCTGGTAAATTCAATGTGACTAACTGCCGAGATCAAGAGTGAAAACTACCAACACCGCAACCATTATATCTTCCTCTTATAACGAAATGTATTCTGCTAATATCAACAATTTTCCTTCAGTTAATCCTGATTATATAAAGATCAGTAAACTACAAATTATTGCACAATAATGTGTATTCATGTAACCATCATAAGAAAATCTTTGTCCCTAAAATTCCACCCCCTTAACTGGGGGAAATAAAATTTCTATTACCTCTACAGATTGTTCAAGGGTCCTGACTTCTCTTTTTATCTGATTACACATCATCCCAGCATCCATTTTAACATCCATCATCTCTATTGCTGACATAGCTTCGAATAAACCAAACCTATGGAACAAGAATGAGAATGAAATTACATTGTTTATGATTTTTTTGTTCCAAGTTAACGGGCCAGTATTCAATATTTTTGTCATATATACATGCGAGAAGTTATCCAATAAGTGTGCCTGGATTCTGAACCAGTTTCTTCGGCAAGTAACTGCCAACATACTGGTATTTTGATCAACTAGATTATATAAAAGTAAACTACAATGTATGTACCATGCCCAAGACTCAAACTGGTTGATACAAGGTTTATAAATGCAGCTCATAACCTATTACATTAGGCTAGGCTGAAATCAGATTGCAATGACATTTGATTGACTCATTTTATCCTCACTAGATTTTAATATTGGTTTTAAAATTGTTGACTTTTTCATTCATAACAATTCATTTCTAAAGCAAAATAAATGTCTTTTAGAGATAGTTTTCTCTTTCTAAACCTACTAAATAGCAACATAATGTTATCACAGCTATAAGTGAATCATTGTTGAAACTTTGTTATAATAGAAAAAGATCTTATCAAATAAAGTACAAAAGTAACAAAACAATAAAGCTATATAGATAAAAGACATACGATGAATCATGCAAGAGTTCTCCAAGTTCCAGTTGGTCACATGCTTCAATGAACTGGTCAGTAACACAATGCCAATTATAGACTGGACCATCATTTTCCTTCTGCTCCATTTTTCTGTAAAATAAAAACAATATCAGAATTTTTGCAATACAAAAACATTAATTCTGGCATCCAAAACTTTGTAAAGCAGCTTTTTGATTTGTTATGTTCTTTTCTTCTGTTCTTGTATGCGGCACTAAAGAGTTTATAAACACAAGTTTGCATATTTATTATTGTTACGGGTTATTTTTCTTAAAAATTCTGTATGGCTATAGCCTAAACAGTGTGTACAGGCTAGTCGCTAGAACATTTGGCTAGCAGTACAGGCCCGTCGTATGGGAAAAGAGTCAACTCGGCCCTATACCAACTCGGCACGGGTCAACTCGGCCCACTTTAAAAAAATATATTTAACGTAGTAATATTAAAAAAAATATCAAACAAAAACATGTTTACTTAATATCATAATTAAGCTTCTAATTAATTGCAGGTGGTCACTAATCAATTTTAAATGAATGCGTCAATCATAATTATCACCTAATTAATCGGTATCCTTACGAACACACTGATTGATAATAATAGCCTGTGACAATAAGAGTCCCTTTAATGTCTTTAACCAATTTCATTTAATTTGTTTGTAATTGTCAAAAGCTGAAAATTAAGTCCGTGTATTATACATAATTACAAATATTACAAAAAATAGTGATTACACAAACCTAAATATAAATAATTGAAAAGTGGGCCGAGTTGACCCGTGCCGAGTTGGTATAGGGCCGAGCTGACTCGGGGGCCGAGTACGTTTTAGGGCCGAGCTGACCCGGAATCGTCGTATGTCTAGCCACTTCCTAAAAAGAATTGCTGAGCTTTAGAATAATCTACATAGCACATAAAAAATAAACTGATATATACTACTTGTTTAGTCCCATGGTTTAATCCACGATATAGTTAAATGAATAAAAATCAGTAACACTCTTCTGTATGTTATGTTACCCACAAAAACACAAATCGGCACCACTTTCATTAAAAATATAATCGCGAAAATATATGACAATTGTGGTAAACGCCTTTTCCGTTCACCACAATCCTATAAATATTGTTTAAATAGAAAGAAAATAATAATGTTGTTTTTCAATATATGTAAAAAGACATTTATAATTCGGATCTTAGAAGAAAAAGATATTTCCTTAAAAAAGTATCAATTTGTTCTGGTTAAATTACCTCCCCTTTGAAATATAAATCGCTAAACTCCGTGTAAAGCCGGAATGTTCCGAGTAGACCGTCAAGTTAAAATACGCCGTATAAAATGGAAATAAAATCATGTCTGTGTGAACTTGTTTAAACGATATTTCAAGATTATGGTATACCCATGTCATCAATGACAACCACATTTCAATCACCTTATTTTTCAAGTAACAATCTGCATATAGGTGTCTTGAGTTTACCTCGACTACATTATTATGATGTCGGTTGTGGGGATTAGAGAGCAAAAACACATTATTTTAGTTCCAAGATATGTAAAATGTTTATTTTCTATTAATCCTTAATTTCATCAGTTATAAATCTTAACATATTTTTAAGACACGATTCACGGGCTCAGTTACTTCAACAATATAACATTTTTTTCTAATAACTTTTCTGTAAGCTGTCACTAGTTGGAGGTCATATAGACGGTTAGACCCTAACAATGTGTGCGTGTTTTTTTTTCTTTGTTTTTGGTGTGTAGGGGGGTCTTTTTGGTGGTGGTTGTCGTCGGGATCTGTTATGCAACATAGGATGTTCATCTATGTCCCTGTTAATTAAGACAGCTTCTTTTCCGTTGCAAATGAATATCAAACTTGAAATATAATGATCTTATACATAATTCAAAGTTGTTTTTTACGATTTATCTGAAGTTGAAGTTTACAAAATGTCTTCAAAATACAAAATTGGTTTTATTATAACATTGTATAACACTTTTTACAAGGTATTTTATAAAACAGATTTTGTTAAAAGAGGCTGTGGAATTTTTACCAACGGGAAAATAAGTCTGTAATGATTTGACATGTATGCATATTTATAATTCAGGTGAGTTTTCAAAAAGGTGTTGAAATTGTAAGCTGAAAGCATGATATTTATGGAATTAAAAGGGAAAAATCATTTTGATTTGAGTGTACTTTTTAGTTCTTACCGAAAACTTTGTTAGCTGATTGGAAAGTGGCTGTACATACAGAGATACTAAATTTAATCATTTAGCTCCAAGCAGTTCCCAAATACTAAAAATTGGGTCTGAATTTTTCACGTTCCTGCTAAGAACGAAATCTATAACAATATAAAACTTTTGTTCTACGTAGGTCATCAATTGTCCAAATGTTTCCTTTAGATCGTGTGTTGGTAACTGGTAGATTTTAAGATGTTTTCAAAACCACGGCTTAAATGTGATCGAAACATGTTTCCGGATTTCAGAAGTTCCGGAATTCAGAAGTTACACTGTATTTAGATTAAAATATTGACATGAAAGATGTCGGTGTCATCTTAATGTGCTTATGGTTTATATTTGATATTTATTGTTTATATATTTTATAATTGTGCTTAAGGGGTACCTATGATGTTTTTGGTTTATCTATGGTGTTAAAGGTTAATTTATGGTGTTTACTGTTACATATTAATATGAACAATATTCGACACTATTGGACATACATGTATATATTTGTAGATAATGGTATTGGGTACATAAAATAAGTAGGTCAACTTCAGTAAATATATTTGGTTTAAACCATATACATGTATATTCCTACTGAATGAAACGTCACCAACTATATAATAACAATCATTTTAGTTCAACATACACAATTTTGTTCCCATTTGATCGTATAATATTGATCAAATAGGGCAATATATATATATACGTTTTTTTTAATTATTTAAAGTTTAAAAAAACCCAAGCGCCTCGGGTCAGATTGATCTCATGCTGGCTTTATTCTCCCGTATATCTTATACATGTATAACTAATAATATAACTTGTAAGACATATATCTAATAATATACACGGCTGCTGCAAAATTAATGTTCAACCATTCAGTATTATACGAGTAAATGCGGTTTATTTTGCGACTATTATAAATAATAAAAACAGTTTACATTTAACCATTTGATTTCTTTGTTGTTCATAAAATCAAATAAATGTTTATTTTGAACATTGGTGAGCGAGACGTTTCTTTTCAAACGCCTCAACGATATAGTTATAGAATATATGTGTGCTTAGTCGAACTTTTGGACTGATAGGAAATAACAAGCCAAAAAGCTAACAGGTTAGGAATGTAAGACTAAAATGATTTTAAATATTTATTTGAAATTTCAATATCTCGAATAATTGCGACCAAAATAATGTTTATAAAGGTAAACCACTTCCGGATGAAAATACGCGAACCTATATGATCGTTGACGTTTTGTAGTCGTAGTAAAATTTTGAATTAAAACCTTTAAGTCGATGAATGAAATCGAATTTAAATGTAACATTTAAGAAACTGACGGTTGCGAAAATTTGATTTTAATGTAAATGAAACATTGCATGATACCGCGTAGTACTGATTTCAACTGATATTCAAGAATCACTTCTTTTCAGCCTTCCACCCCCCCTTTTTGTTGGAGACAAGTTAAACCATTTTTTGAATACCGGGTATTTACTAGTACATATGTTTGTGGAAAAAAAATCAAATAATTTAGAATGCTTAAAGAAAACATGTACCGTCTGATACATGTTAATAAAATAAGTTAATGAATATTAACATTGAAAAGAAGTCAGTTTCAAATAAGGAATAGCTCTGCTTTGAAAGACAAAACATGTACATAATTATATTAAGGAAACATTTATGCGTTGAACAATAATTTACATGCTTGAACATAATAATGTTCACTTTTTTATGCACAAATAACTCTGGACATGTACTAGTCCATAATTAACATGGATAAACCTGGGATTCAAACGTTGGTATTTTTTGCTTTTTCATAACATACGCGCTATTTCATACTCGGCATCATTTTTTCTCAATCTGTATGAGTGTATTAACATATGAGCCACGTCACGACAAAACCAACATAATGGGTTTGCGACCAGCATGGATCCAGACCAGCCTGCGCATCTGCGCAGTCTGATCAGGATCCATGCTGTTCGCTTACAGACTCTATAACAAGTAGAGAAACTGATAGCGAACAGCATGGATCCTGATCAGACTGCGCGAATGCGCAGGCTGGTCTGGATCCATGCTGGTCGCAAACCCATTATGCAGGTTTTGTCGTGACGTGGCTCATATAAATAATTTAGACAGCATTTATGTATGACAAATCGTGTAAAATCAAATACCTATACGTGTTATATGTGCTAGTCAAATTGTTCTCATTATTATATAAATTTATGTATATATGTTTTGTTAATCCCTTTTGAATAACTGTTCATTATATTGTTAATCTATCATAACTTTATGCATTATTATATGCCTTGGTTTTGAATAAAATCTTGAAATTTTGAAATCGATCGCGTTTTGATTATATCATGTCAATTTGCCGAACAGATGTATATCATTAGATATAATGTGGTGGTGGTGTTGGTAGACACGGCAGTAAGCAACATTGAATTTACACAGCACAGTTCAGCCAGACATCCTGTCAAGCAGTTTACCAGAACTAGCTGCCTCCACTGAACTGAAACCTCTGTACATGCCAGAGCAGAGATACAGTGCGAATGACCGTAAAAAAAGATTCCATGATCAATCACATAAAAAATGACCTGTATAGTCCGGGAATCGATCCCGGGTCGCCCGATTCACAGTCCAACTCTGTAGATAATGAAGTATTTACGGAATATGTTAAAGTTGTTGCCCAAAAGCTTAAAGTTTTGAGGATATAGAATTGACCTGCTGCCTTTTTACATTACATTACTTGTTTATAAAGTTAAAATTTAGCTGTTAATTTCCACACAAAATAGTGTTCTGAGATTTAGAATTAACAATGCGTATAAGTTCAATGAGAAGTTTTTGTTGTTGTTTTGTTGTTGTTGTTTTTGGTGTTTTTTCTCTCTTTTTTTTCCTTTTTTTTTATTATTGACGCATAATTCTTATGTGTAAACAATAAAATTCAAAAACACAGACGATGTTTCTTTGAGGGTCAGCTCTTTTTGATCCATACAATCAAGCTAACGTCATTAATATGTATTGTTACTGTGATCTTCTGTTTATAAAAGTAATAATTCAACATACATACTTTTGTTCGATTTCACAACTAGCAAGTACAATATTTTGACATGTTTTTTTCTGAATTACTTTTTCTTAGAAAAAAAGATATATTTTAAAATCACTAATATATTTGTTTTCACTAGAAACATTGCATTTAGATGTGATCATGTTTTCACATAATAAAGGGCATTTTTTTGGTGCGTTACATATACAACATACATATTTTTGAACTTTTAAACATTTGACCGTTTTATTATTAATAGAGATGGGCTTTTTGTGAAGAAGGGAATCGGTATATACTCATATGTCGGGAAGAGTAAATAGAGTTCTGTTCTGTTGTTCTTTTTTCTTTTATTCACTTTACTCATTTCGGATTTATTTTTTGACGATTATTTTCTTTTTTTCAGGTATTCATAATATGATAATGATACTTTGTTTGTTTGTTTTTTGTTTATATTGCATACTGGGAATTTAAATGGGTCGAATGGACTTTGGGTAAACAGGAAGATGGCATTGTAAGAGATTGTGCTTCCCAGAAACACTCATGATTCGATTTAATTTTTTCGTGATTACACGCATTATGTAAATTGTTAAATTTTTTTTTGTAAATTGTTTGATTTATTTTATGGCCAAACAGAGAGCTTAGTTCGTGGGCATATTTACAAATTCATAGGACGACAGGGCACAGCATCTCAAACCAGATGAAATAATCAGATACACAACAACAACAACAAATAAAATAAATAAAGAAAGAAAGAAAGAAAAAGAAATACGTTTCAAATTTATGAACATTTATTGCACAGTGAGTTTTCATCTCTACTGGAATGTTATGTAATAAAATAATCATTTATTCAAACACTCTGTTCCATGTTTTATTGTCATAAACCTATTTTCGACTTAAACAAATGCTGTTGTTGTTTGTTTTTAATTCCCTTTTTTCATGAAAATGCTTTATTTCATTTTTAACACAATTTATTCAATCAAATAAAAACAATATCAACAATAACACATTTTGTTTTTAAATATATTCAATTTAGAAATACTGTAAATACTAAATAATAGCGTATTTTTAAAACCATTAATTAATGCAAAGCTATCCGAACTAGTAATGACTATCCGAAAAGCTGGTTTAGATAAAATCAACAATTTTCTTTCGTGGAAGAAAAGTATAAAAAATAAAGATCATTTTTATTTTTGAATGAATGATTTATGCCGAAAAAAGTTCAATATAAATATTGGAATGGTTAAAAAGGAGTAAAATGGACTTTTTGAAACAAGTTTATGACATTTAAACACTTTGAACAGAGATCGATTCTAAAAATAAATAGCACTACTTTAATTTAATATGTACATTATACAGGAAATTTTTTACATATTTTCAGGCGTAACAATATTTTACATTTTTGCGTAGACAGTGCACAATACTGAACAATATTTTACATTTTTGCGTAGACAGTGCACAATACTGAACAATATTTTACATTTTTGCGTAGACAGTGCACAATACTGAACAATATTTTATATTTTGGCATAGACAGTGCACAACACTGAACAATATTTTACATTTTTTGCGTAGACAGTGAACGTGATGATATTTCAAATATATTTACAAACATACATGATTTTACAAAAAAAATAACTTTTAACAACTTGTGTATAAACCGGTTCTTGTAGGCCCGGCACGGCACACATAACGACTATAAAACAAGACTTTGAAAATACACATATTTCGGATTCTAGATCTATCTTTTGCCGTCTATAATTGACAAATGTACTTCATAAAATTCGAAACTTACAATTAAAATGTCCTTGGATCGTATAATGAAAACGTTAATCATAACAGTAAATTTAATTATTTCACGCAAGGAAGCAAAATGCCTATTTGCATGTGTACTGATTATAAATATTGCCCTGGTTTACGTTAAAATGAGACAGTGAACCTTTGCACTAGTTTTAGAATCATAATATCACAGAGTTATTGTTGAAGTCTCAATTGACCGCTATATTGAGGTCCATAATAAGGCGACTGTTGAAATGAAGAGTAAGAACTTAGTGAAGAGTTCGTGGTTGGAGGTAAGGAAGGTGGGTTTGACACTGGTAGATATGAGCCGCCTAATGATCCTCCGAGGCTCGAACCGAAACTGTTACCGAGTCCATTACTTAAAGTATTACTAAGTCCGTTTGACATTGAACCGGGTGAGTAATAAGGTGAATAATTTGACGTTGGCTGACTTCCCCAGGGTTCAGTCTTTGGAAGTCCGTATTGCTGTGACTGACTTATGCCCTGTGAAAAAGACGGAAGTCCAAGTGGGTTAAGTGATGGATACGGTTTATATCCAGGTGGAGGGTATAAACTGAAATGTCCGTAAGAATTCACGTGCTGTACATGCGCCTCGGCAGCCATTTTCTGTTTCTGAAGTTTGAATCTCTTTGCCCGTCTTAGGAAGCTTCCGTTGCCGAACATATCCCCGCAGCCTGGATGCAGAGCCCAGTAGTTTCCCTTTCCGGGTCGTCCTGGGGCACGGGGAACTTTTAGAAAGCAGTCATTTAGCGAAAGGTTATGACGTATAGAATTCTGCCATCTTTGTTGATTTTCTTTGAAGTATGGAAAGCGATTCATGATAAATGCGTAAATCTCGTTCAATGTCATCATCCCGTTATTTGAGCTTTCAATTGCCATGGTGATGAGTGCGATGTAGGAATATGGCGGTTTCACGTCTGCGAAGCGGCGTTTTTGTTGAGAGAGCGTTGATGTTCCGGAGAAAGCACCGTCCTCATCGCATTCGTCTACGTCACCAATGATTCCGGAATCGGAGTGATTCGGGTCACTGTCGTCTGCAAAGGCGTTATCGGCTGCGTTTCCATGTGACGTCATGTTCATATCCTAGAAAAAAAGAAGAAAATAAGAATCATTAAGACCATGCTGTAAACATTAGTCTAAAGAAAATATCATAATATTTTAGGAGAAATAGTTTGTTGACAAAGCATATATTTAGTTATGAAGTATCCGTAGATAAAGATTAAATCTTAAAGACGAATCAAAGTCATCTTTATTATTTTTAAAATAAACTAAACGCTTACGGTTTTAAGAGCAGATTTTTATCTTATTTATTTTTTCTGTTTTGAACATATTTCAATTATTTTTGTAAGTAATTCCCATATTAATTGTATGTTCTTTACTAGTATAGTAAATGGTTGTACATGTATATAACTCTGTCTTTACACAACAGAACAGATTATTAATTAACGTATGAACAATGCATGTATCTTGTTAATTCAACATCAAATTAAATATATGATGCACGAGATAAGCACGAGATGTTTTGAATATTCAACAGAGAATGAACAAATTATCATAGTTGAAGTAATTCTTTACAAGAATCATTGAAAAAATACTCTAAAATGTAATGTATTTCTGAATGGATGTTGTTATAACAAGATAAATTACGTGAATGAATGGACGATTTGCATTAAATAAATAAATAAATAGAATAAATTGAATAAATAAACAAACAAATAAATGAATGAATGAATGAATGAATGAATGAATGAATGAATGAATGAATGAATGAATGAATGAATGAATGAATGAATGAATGAATGAATGAATGAATGAATGAATGTTTTAAAATATATATGTATAATGTAATATATAAATGCTTTTTAAAATCAATGATATTTTTAATCATTTTTGGTGTGTTTTCTTTTAAATTTTTTAAATAAATAAATAAATACATTTTTACATACACGTATACATTTTTTGATACATCAATGAATAAAAAATAACTCAATGAATATATTTTCCGATTTTTCTTATCGCAAATTTGAATATGTTTTTACAATCATGATTTCTGTCATCTCATGTTAAAAAAAAACATTTTACAAAAGCCCAATGTTTTCAAACGTGTATGTGTAATTAAAATGTTTATTGATTTGTATTTTCTATATTTTTTCTATTTTTGTTTGGTGCGTTTCTTATGCCGCTAAAAAACATGTTAATCAACAATATTAACATAAACCCTTTTTCTACATTACTCTAAAATACGGAATTATAAGGAAAGCCAAAATACAGAATTATTAAGAAAGCGACTCTTACCTGTTGTTGTTGTTGTTGCATTCCATGATGCATCATATTACCGGTTCCCATCATGCACGAGGACTTCTGGTCCACATCCGGTCCCATCATATTGCTGGTAGAGTCAATCATTGCATTAAAATCCTCCAGGTTCGAATCTTAACTAAGTTACCACAGTTCTAAAAACAAAACAGTTTCATTAAGAACCACGTAACTAAAAGTAAATTGTATGCAGTGGTGTAAATAAGTCCGCTATTTAGCTTGTCTTTTAAATAAATTATCAAAACTTTCTTATTTTCAAAGATGATGGGAAATAAGAAAAAAAAATTCATATATATGTAAAAGCACAAGTTGAGTGCTCCGTAGTGCGTTTGCGAATTATCAAAGGTACATGCTTTAAATAAATTTGCGACCCGAGTCGGTCTCTTTTATTACCCTGTTAAGAAAAAACGAATCATGTAACTTATTTGGGTAATAAGGCAATACAATTTAAATTGACACTTGTTGACAATAGGTTTAATTCAATTACCATTTCAAATTAAATCTTGATAGCCGTGCCAGGTCCACGCCGCTAACGAATTTAAGGAGGTTACGCATACCTAAACTCCGCCCACCTGATTAACGTATTGTGTTTATTCATAAAGCGTTGCGCTGGACTCTGTATCGTTGAAAATCAATTTTTGGCGTATCATTTAGAAAAAAAGTGAAAAAATAGAATTAATCAATCCAGAAACTTGGGTAAACGGCCTGCCTTGGTCTATTTAGTGTTATTGCTAAGCCAAACAAACATAAAACTGGCCAGTTGTGTTTACTTTAATAATTTGTCCCTGCCGAGATTCTTATATGTTTCAAATTGTCCACTCGAAATTTTTACCTGGCTTTTGGTGAATTTCAAGTGAGTTTAAGCTACACAAATAATAGGTTGAAACCAAATTTTAAAACTGTTCTACACTCCTTGACCATATGGAAAATGCATGGACCACATTCCAAAGTGTTCCACTGAGACCTTAAGTAAATATATCTGATTTTGCCATTTTATTAATCATAAATGGACAACACAAAAACACCGAGTTTAAAGTGCCCGCAAACTAAATCTTTTTATTGAATAACTGTATTCTTACATAAAAATAAAAACGGAACTTAAGAAAAAATAGAGAAGGGCAAGTCTGCTATTTTCGAATCTAAATATTCTGGCCATCAAATGTCCACTTCTGCAAAAACACTATTTCTAAACAGAGACTAAAAAGAACAAAATAGATATCTTCAAAATGAATGCCGAAAATACAGAAATAGTCATAAATAAATATTTCCTTATTGTCCCAGCTAAAAGTTGGAGTGATTTTCTTTTTAATTACGAAAGTAAAGAAAGAAAGAAAGAAAGAAAGAAAGAAAGAAAAAGAAAGAAAGAAAGAAAGAAAGAAAAGAAAGAAAGAATTCAGAATTAAAGAAAAGAATTCAGTAGTAATTTTTTTTTTAAAAAGCACAATCAAAAGAGAGAAAAAGCAAACTTCTGTTGTTTTTTTTTTCTTTCTATGTAGGGTTACTCAGTAGATGTTTCATTTTTTTTTTTTTTTTTTTTACATTATTTTATTATTATTATCATTATATTATTTAATTATTATTATTATTATTATTTATTATCCGATTATCATTATTTTATTATTTACTGATTATTATTATTATCATTATCATTATTATTATATATTATTATTATCCCACAACTCTAGTTATTATTATTATTATTATTATTATTATTATTATTATTATTATTATTATTATTATTATTATATTATTATTATCTAAAACCCGTTGATTTCTTTTCAGGAGACGTTGTTTCCATGTATATTAAAAACTCTTCACAAAACAATTTACTATGCGTGTGATACAAAATTTACTTATGTCTTACGTTACGTTCATTCAAAGGAAAAGTTGATACGTTGGACGTCAAAGATGCTGCTTGTAAATGAGGGATATACAATTTAACCGAATTATAAGCTGGAAATAAAAATAAATAATAATACAGACGTATTGTAGAGCAAAATGTTTCTTTGACGGCAAGATATCTGCTGCTTCTATCTTGTATCAGAGACGTATAGCTCTGTGCTTGTATATATTTTTGTTTTGGCGACATTTTTGGTTCATATATTCAATATATGAATATGCTCAAGGAAAGGAAAAGGCAATGTTTGTATCCCGTAGTAAGTAAGTGAATTAACTGGTGTTTTTATGTTGCTCTTCGTTCTTTTTCATTCTAGAAGATGTTCTGGACTTCTTTTTTGATTTTTTTTTGTCTTGTGAACTCATGGTGTTAAGGTTTAATACACATTAAAGCACATTAATGCTTATTTATTAATAAATATCTTGACCGCTTTAATTGGATTAGGGCAAACATATACATGATCCTATAAAGAAATGTCGGTCCAATTAGCAGACACTTTGATCCAATATACAACTATTAAGGAAAGTGAAAATACAAAATCCAGACATAATAATTTCATAATAAGGTAATTCAGCGCTAAGTGCGAGGGCTCAGCGTAAGCACTCTTCTTACAACACGTGCCTAAGGGAGAAAATCACTACTCAAAAGGGACCGAACTCCACTAATGGACGCATTGTTATGGGAAGATAATCCGAACAAGATACTTTTTACACGTCCGTAATCCGGACCCGAATACCGTATTGTAGTCCGTAAAATAAACATGGCACCTGTATGAAATGCACAAGGCATTATCCAGACGAAAAGAAGTACAAGTATTCCTTTGAAGTTAATTCTGTTTTTGTCCGTACAAAAACAACATAATTCTTCCCAGAGAAAAAAAATAAAATCAGTAAATAATCAGATTTATTTTTTTGTGAAACTTCGGGACATACTAAAAAGTTGTATCACATTTTTAATTGTGAATACATTTAGAATTTGTCAAACAATATATAAACGAGTTAATTAAACAAAAGTTTTTTAATGACCATTTGTGTATTTATAATCTCATATTTGATATTACGAACTGTAAAATGTGTTTAATAAAAAAATGTCTCATTTGTTGTCAGAAAGTGGCCTTTAATTAACACACATTTTCGTTTTGATTTCATTTCTTGAAAACATCACAAATTTTGCAATAGAAAGTGGCACATTCTTTGCAGATTTCAAATTCCTTCTTTTTCTAATGCAATCAACGGAATCAAAATACAAATTTACGATACACGAAATAATTTACAACTTCTTTATGGCACGTGTAGACATCAAGTATTTTTCATCACCTTTATTCTTTTCATAACGTGTGACACTATAATTATACTGTGGCAGAATCTGTACAAGAAAATTATCTTTTGAAACATTTACACGGCATGCTGATTTAATTGTTTACGCGAAAAATATCGAAACGTTAACACCGGGTTTGATCAGCGATGTCAAGGGCCGGGAATTATCGTGAAAACCAAAAAGAATTTCCCTTCTTATCCTAAAATTTCCAAATTTATAGAATTTTCGCCAAATTGAAATGATTTCGATCAATTTCTGAACTTAAAAGGTAAACTTTAATTCCAATTAAAGCGAAGAACTGTGTGATTCTTTCATGATTATTATGACGTAATTTTGAATATGTATGGTGTACCGCCGGAAGCAATGCTCCAAAACATGCTAGCGCCAGTATTGTACATTTTCACGGCTGCTGTCACGGTTAAATAAAAAACTTAATCAAAATATTTGCATATTTACTTTTGACAGATAGATCGAGAACAGATCTCGCAATTTGGTGTAAAAGTCGGAACCCGAAATCTATGTCAACAGTGACACAATGAAAAAACAGTGACGTAACGAAAAAGACATGTTTGCTCGCTGTATAAACAAGAAACCAATGATAAACCCATTTTCACTGGATATGTTGACTTGATGTTTCAATGCAAATATTTTATCAATTTTGATAGTCTAAATTAAAATATTTCTTTTTGTTCCATGCTTAGTGTAAAAACTGAGACATGATCGACCTAAAAATATTTTCCCTTAAAAATAATAATTTCATTTGAAGTTTACCTTAATGTGTCAATGTGTATTAGAAATGCAATAAACACTTTGCTTTAATGTATCAATAATTTGATACCCGAGAAAACATATTTAATATGGCAAATATTTTCTAAAAATATTTGATAAAAGAACACGAGTTTGATAAAATAAGAAATAAAAACTTCAGCAAGTGTCATAAAAGAAATGTTTATGTCTTAATTTATTATTATTATTATTCTTATTATTCTTATTATTATTATTATTATTATTATTATTATTATTATTATTATTATTATTCAAAATTGATAAATTGCTATCCCAACCGAATTAATAATAAATTAGTAAAATATTCAAATATTTCAAATACACGTATGTAAGGCACCCAAATAATAACTTTAGTTATGTGAAAACAGGGTCACATCTAAATGCAATGTTTCTAGTGAAAACAAATGCACAATTGATTATAGAAATATATTTTTCTATGAAAAATGAAATTCAGGAAAAGCATGCCAGAATACTGTATGCGATTTTGATAAAGTGAGGGCAATTTCGTTGAATTGGTATCCGACACACAGAAATTCCAGAAGTACTTGATTGAAGGTTTTTTGGAATTATGAACTTCAGAGCATTAATAAGGACTACAAAATAAACAGCGTGAAGCAGAAGATAATATACCTTGACATTATTTATAGGGAGTCCAGTGAGTTTGTTAAGAGTTAAAATTCGGAAAATGACACCAAATTAAAAAGCGTTGCAAAACGTTCTGCACACAAATCGGGCTAAAAACAGTACAGTCTACTTGTTTTTGAGTTTATTTTATATCACATTGACGAGACTATATTAAAAAATAAAATATTGTACATCATCATGCAAAAAGATAAATATCAAAATTACCCTAACCGTAAGTTTTAATATTAATTAACTCTTGATTTATTTGGTAATTAAATATATAATTATGCATCAATTAATTATAAATATTGCCAAATTTATTTTGGATCAATTATCAAGACCCTTAAAAGGTTACACATTAATTACAGTTAAGCATAGTTCTTGGTAATTGCATTATTAAAATCTAAAATATGCTCTGGACAAAAAAAATGAAAATGAAAAAATACAAAGTGCAATAACTAGTAAAAAGTTAGAAAGAGCAATAACTCTAAATTTATGCA